TAACCATGAACAGAATTTTGAAAAAAAAAATGGATGGTAAAGGCCATTCTGATGAGGTTTCTGAAGGAAATGTGGAAAATGTGTTAGACAATGGAGAAAAGGCTATCCATGGTATAAAGCAGCAAAGAATTTAGCTGAATTTTGTTCATATTGTAGTGTTTTGTAGGAAGTAAAATTGGATATTTAGCTTAGGAGATTTCTAAGCATAGTCATAAAGAAGTGGCTTGGGTCCTATTGATGACTTATAGTGAAATATAAGAAGGATGAAATGAATTGAAGAATTATTTGTTCAACAAAACAAACAATAACAAAAAATAAACTAGAAGATTGTTTATGTGTCACAAAATGAGAAAGTGTGTTTGGAAGAAAAATCCAAGGGTATGGCAAGGTACCATTGGTAAGATTAGTGTGGGTGTGAACCAGCAACCTAATCAGCTCTCAGCAAAAACTCTGCCAGTTTGAACTGAAGGGGACAGAGACAGGAAAATATGAAGAAGGCTGTTGACTTCTTAGATATCACAGGACTGAATTACAGAGCTATTTTCAGGGGTGCCAACACCTCAGTTTCAATAGACCAGACTGCAGCTGCTCAGAGTCCAGGGAATGGGGCAGTCTGGAGTCTTGAGGGCACTACTTCCACCTAGCAGTGTCTTTGGGTAAACCAAGACTCAGGATGCAACTGTACTTGAAAGGCTCACAGCATCACAGATAGTGGAGCATTGAATAAAAAAGGATTATTTTTAAAATTTACCATGTTGTCTTATTTGCTTTGATAGGTTTTAGAGTTGGTTGGGTTTCGCCTCCTCTTTCTTCATTGCAATTTCTACTTTTGGACTGGATTGTCTATTCTACCATTGTGTTTTGGAAGAACATAGCTTGTCAGATTTCCTGGGTTCATAAGTAGAATGGAATTTTGCCTCTGGTTAAATCATACTTCAAGTCTCACTCATATTTGATTTAGATGAGATTTTGGACTTTAGGATTAAGAGTCAATGCTGGAGCCGGGCACAGATTACACACTTGTAGGATTACACACTTGTAATCCAAGTGACTCAGGAGGCTGAGGCAGGAGGATTGCAAGTTTAAAGCCAGCCTCAGCACTTTAGCGAGATGCTAAGCAACTCAGTGAGACTCTTTCTCTAAATAAAAATATGAAAAATAGGGCTGGGGATGTGTCCCAGTGGTTGAGTGCCCCTGAGTTCAATCCCCAGTACCCAAAAGAAAAAAAAAACTCAATGCTAGAATGAGTTAAGATCTTTGGGGGTAATATGGAATGAATTTATTTTGCATGTGAGAGGGATATGAATTTGAAGGTGACTAGGGGGAAAATGTTATGGACTGAAATTTATGCCCCCCAAAATTCATAGGTGGAAGCTCTAATTACCAGTGAGATGTTATTTCAAGGTAAAGCTTTAGGTAATTAATTAAGTTTAGATGAAGTCAAGAGTGTGGAGCCCTCATGATAGATAAGATTAGTGCCCTTAAAAGAAGATGTGGTGGGGCTGAGGGTGTAGCTCAGTGGTAGAGTGCTTACTTAGCACATGTGAGGCATTGGGTTCGTTCCTCAGCACCACATAAAAATAAATAAATAAAGATATTGGGTCCATCTAAAAACAAAACAAAAAAAAAAAGCTGGTTTTCTCTTTCCCTTCCATGTGTTCCATGTGGATGCATCAAGGTGAGGCCCTGTGAACACACAGGAGAAAGCAGATCTGCAGACTAGAAGGAAAGCTGTCATCAAGAGCCCAGCCACACAGGCACCCTCATCTCAGACTTCCAGCATCCAGAACTGTGGATGAAATAAAATGTCCACTGCTTAAACCCCAGTCTATGGTGCTTTGCTATAGCAACTTGAGCTAAGATAAAAGCAAAACCCTGGATGCTCTGCTCACTACATTTTAGGTGATGTTTCTTAACCAATTCAGTTCATAGTGATAAAAACATTTTTAACCAAATTTATTTATTTTACATAGAGAAAGTGGCTTTGTATTTTTTTTTCCTTCTCGGACTAAATGTCTTCATTTCCAGTTAACAAATTTCCTGTCTACTTTTTAAAAAATATTCTTTTAGTTATACATGGACACAATATCTTTATGTTGTTTGTTTATTTTCATATGGTGCTGAGGATGGAACCCAGCGCCTCACATGTGTGAGGCAAGCGCTCTGCCACTGAGCCACAGCCACAGCCCCTTTCCATTTGTTGTTATAATGGAAACACAATATTTTCAGAACAACATTACTAAGGTTACTATAAAAATAAAAGTGATGAGTACTTTTAACTTAAATATTTAGAAATAATTAACATGTTTGATGCCATTTTTAAAAATATATAGAAAGTTATGTTTTAGCCACCCCTACAAGACAGGATGGACCCCCCCACCTAAACTTTAGTTCATATATGGAGACTGATGAACACACACACACACACACACGAAAGGGTTGTTATACATAGTGAGGTCCCTGGGGTCAGGCTTGGGTTTTTATTGTGGTTAAGATGTGGGATCACTTTCTTACCAGCTTGACTGGATGTGAGGTACAAGAAGAAGAAAGAGATGAGACTTAAAAGCTATGAGCAAACATCAAAAAGTGGAGTCAGACTTTCATTACAGTTCACCCCTGAAGTTTGGTTGATGACTGAAACATGCCATGTTTTGTTTAACTGAATTTGAACTTGTTAACAACAGCCATTATAGCACGCTATGAGACCTGAAGCCTGAAGCCTGTTAGGAAGGTGGACTTTCCACTGAGAGTCTCATGCAAGTGCCCAGCAGGTGCATTCAGAGAAGTGAGAAGAGTACTTGGTCATTGTCAATAATGTCTGGGATTCTGAAAGGGACAAGTGCCTCACTGAGGCCTGGTAAGATATTCCCAGAGTTATTTATCCCAAAGGGGAAACTCTTTGGACAATGGCCTAAGAGTCTGTAAAAATTTCTAGCCTGAAGCCAAGTATAACCTTGACATTACGGAGACCAGGGAGAGGAGAGCATGCTGATTGCAGATCACCTTTGTGCCACCATCTACCTCATTCTCATTCTCGTTAGTTACCCAATGCTAGCTGAAGTCCACACTGGAAACTGCTATTTCCTCCAAATTAATTTCTTAAGTTGCTTGTGGCTGCACATCAGCACAGAATACTTCAGCAGTACTGGGCCATCCATTTCTCCCCAAGGTTCTCCCTGTGCATACCATGAGCAAACCTGCAGAAATGATAAATGCCAAACCCACGGGGCACTTGGCAAGTGAAGAATAAAAGGATACTTACAAAGTATTTTCCAAATAAAAACATGATTTTAAAATAATTAGAAACCTTAGCAAACTAGATAGAAATAGAAGGGAAATTCCTCAACTTGATAAAGAACAACTACTGAAAAAATTGAACAAGCAACTTCAATCATAATGATGAAAGACTGAAATCTTTCCACCTAAAATCAGAAACAAAGGGTGGATTTCCGATGACACCACTCTTACTGTAACTTGAATTCTAGCCACTACTACAAGACAGGAAATGTAAACAGATTAGAATGGAAGAAATAAAACTATCCTTGTTTTCAGGTGGCAAGATGATCTATGTGTTAATTGATATATTTGCTAAGGCTGTCATGACATTATTCCACAGACTGGGTTGCTTAAGCAACGTAAAAATATTTTCTTTCTGTTCTGGAGGCTGGAAGACCAAGATTAAGGTATGGGTAGTTTTGATTCATCCTAAGGCCTCTCTTGTGGAATTACAGATGGCCACCTTCTTGCTGTGTCCTCCTATGATCTTTCCTTGGTGTGCACACATCCCTGTGTGCTTCTCTCCAAACAAGACATCTCCATCGAATAAAACTATCCTTCAAAAGTGATGAAGAAATTAATGCATTTCCACCTGAGGGAGTTCATCATCAATAGACCTGTTCTACAAGAAATGCTAAAGGAAGCCCTTCAGGTTAAAATGAAAGGACACTAGACAGTAACTCAAAACTATGTGAAAACATAAAGATAACTGGCATAGGTTCATACACAGGAAACTTTAAAAGCTTGTGTTATTGTAACTCCACTTTTTTCTACACTATTTAAGAGAATGATATATTTTTAAAAATTAATCTAGGTTTTTGGACATAAAATGGAAAAAAAGATTTTGTGACATCAATAACTGAAGGTGTTAGGAATGGAGTTTCATAAGAACAGAGTTTTCTATGTTATCAAATAAGGTGGTATAAGTTCAAGTTAAAGTATTATGACTCCAGGATATTAAGTGTAATCCCAAAGAAAGTGGTCATAAAATATATACAAAAGAAAATTAAAATGTTTCACATTTTAAAAATCAAACATAAAAGAAGCTTGTAATGCATAAAATAAAGAACAAAAAACATCAAAAACAAGTAGCAGAATGACAGAAGTAAGTCTTCCTTGTTAGTAGTTACTTTAAATATAAATTATTCAGCTCTTAAAGAAACACAGAGATTGGTAGACTGGTTTACAAAACAATACAAACAATTGAAAAATCCCATGATCCAATGATATGCTGTCTGTGGAAGACTCATTTTAGATTCAAAGGTTCAGATAAGTTGAAAGTGAAAGGATGGGAAGACATTCCATGTAAATTGTAACCAAAAGAGGGCAGGGGTGGCTATGCAGGTATTAAACAAAGTGTACTTATAAAACAATAAACAAAGGGCAGTATATATTTAGATTCAATACAACAAGAACACATGTAAACATTTACACACTGCTATGGTTTGGATAAAGTTTAAATGTGTCCCTCGAGGTCCACACACTGGAGGCTTGGTTGCTATTGTGATGGTGTTGAGGTGGTAGAACCTCTAAGAGGCAGGCAGGACCTAGTGGGAGATGGTGAGGTCATAGCAGTACTGGCCTAAGAAGGGTTCATGCTGGTCTCAAAGAGTGGAAGAGTTTTCACAAAAATTAGTTGTTATGAAGCAAGTTCATGGGTCTCCACTGTCTCTTACTTTCTGTCTTACTTTCTGTCTTGTTATGTGATCTCTCCCTCTCACAAGTGCTCCCATGATGACTTCCACCATGTCATGATGCAGCCAAAAGGCCCTTGCAAGAATCAAGAAGATGCTCTTGAATCTCCAGAATTTTAATCTCTTTCCTTAAGACAGCAGCCAGCCTCAGGTATTCTGCTGTAGCAACACCAAATGGAATAAGACATACCAGGTGTGGGGATGTAGCTCTGGGGTAGAGCTCTTGCCTAGCATGCATAAAGCCGTGGGTTCAACTCCCAGCACCACAAAAAGAAGTAAAAATAATTTTAAAAATAAAGTATTTCTCAAAAAGAAAAGATAGAAGATTCGAATTATTAAAATTAGAAATGAAAGTGGAGATGTTACTATTGATTCTACATAATAGGCTATCAAAATATATGAAGCAAAATTGGACAGAATTGAAAGAAGAGATAGAGAGTTCTACAATGCTAGTTGAAAGACTTCAAATACCCTGCTCTCAATAATAGATAGAACTGCACACAAGATCAATGAAGAAAAAAGGGACATAGCAAATATAACAAATCAGATCTAACAGAAATATACAGAACACTACCCAACAGTAACAGAATACATATCCTTTTCAAGTATTCATGGGACATCCTCCATGTTAGATCATATATTAGGCCACAAATAAAGATTCAGTGTATTTTAAAAGAGATATCTCCCCTGACCACAAAAAGATGAAGTCAGATTGTCAACAGCAAAATGAAAAAAAAAATGGACAACTCACAAATTTGTGGAAATGAAAGAGCACACTCTTAAACATTCAATATATTAAAGAAGAAATCATAAAGGAAGTTATAAAATACTTAGAGATGAAAATACAATATGCCCAAACTATGGAATATAGCAAAAGCAGTGCAAATAGGGAAATTTATAGGAATAAAGCTTACATTAAAAAGAGGCACAATCTCAAATTTATAAAATCAAACTTTACAACTTAGGAAACTAATAAGATAAGTACAAACTAAACCTAAAACTAGAAGATGGAAGAAAACAATAAGATTAGAACAGAGATAACTAGAGAATGGAAAAATGATAGAAAATAGCAACAGAACCAAAAGTTGAATGTTCAAAGAGCTTTTAAAACTTGACAAAACTTGACACTTAAGCTAGATTAATTTTTAAAAAAGATAGGGCTGGGGATGTAGCTCTGGGGTAGAGCTCTTGCCCAGCATGCACAAGGCCCTGGGTTCAATTCCCAATACCACAAAAAGAAGTAAAAATAATTTAAAAAATAAAGTATATTTCTCAAGAAGAAAAGATAGAAGATTCAAATTATTAAAATTAGAAATGAAAGTGAATATATTATTATTGATTCTACAGAAATAAAAACATGACAATAGAGCACTATGAACACCTGTATCCTAACAAATTGGATAACTTAGACATATGGACAAATTCCTAGAAACAGGAAACTTACCAAGACTGAGTCATGAAAAAATAGAAAATCTGAGTAGACCAATAAGTAGTAAAGAGAGTGAATAAAAAAAACATATACCCCCACCCAAAAAAATCACTGAACCTGAAAATTTAACCAATGAATTCTACCATTTAAAGAATTAACACCAATATTTCTTCAAATTTTTCAAAAAATTGTAAAAATGGGAAACACTTCTTAACTCATACCATGAGGCTAGCATTGCCCTGATACCAAACACCAAAACCACTACAAGAAAACTACCAACCAATATCCCTTATGAACAATAATGCAAAAAACTAGGAAACCAAATTCCACCCTGTCTAGATGGAATTTACTTCTTAAATGCAAGCATTTCTGACATGAAAATTTATCAATGTAATACACTAGTATCAACAGAATAAAGGGACAAAAACATCAACTCATGATGCTCATAAAACATTTGACAAAATTCAATATCAATTTATGATTTTAAAAACATGGAATAAATTAAGAATAGAGGAAATTATCTCAACATAAGCCAATTATGAAAATTCACAGCTGAAATCATACTCAATGAAATACTTAGAGCCTTTTGATCAGTAACAAGGATGCTCCCTTTCTCTATTTCAACACAGAACTATAAGTTCTAGTCACAGCAAGTAGGAAAAAAAAATGAAAGTAAAAAGAAATATAAAGGCACTAAAACTGGAAAGGCAAAAATAAAACTGTTTGCAAATGATATTTTCTTATATGGAGAAAATGCTAAAGCACCACACACACACACACACAAACGTTAGAACTAACAAATTCAGCAAAGTATCAGGATAAAAAAAAATCAATGCAGAAAAATGGGTGCTGCTACTCTACACTGATAATAAAAAATCCAAAAAGAAAATTATGGAAACCGTTTCATTTATAATAGCATCAAAAATATGATATTTAGGAAGTAAGCTGGAATTCTTTCAGTCTTAAAAAGAAGAGATTCTGGGCTGGGGCTCAGTGGTAGTGCACTTGCCTGGGGCATGTGTGAGGCAATGGATTAGATTCTCAGCACCACTTATAAATAAATAAAGTTCTATCAACAACTTAAAAAATATTAAGGGGCTGAGATTGTGGCTCAGCGGTAGAGTGCTCGCCTAGCAGTGGTGGGGCCCGGGTTCAATCCTCAGCACCAATAAAAATAATGTGTTATGTCCACCTACACCTAAAAAAATAAATGTTTTTTAAAAGGAATTTATTTTAAAAAAGAAGAAATTCTGACACATGTGACAGCACTGATGAACCTTGAAGACATTATACCAAGGGAAATAAGCTAGCCACAAAAACAAATGCTTATGATCCCACTTATATGAGGTATTGAGAGTGGTCAAATTCACATAAAGAGGAAGTATAATGATGGTTTCCAGGACCTGGGATGGGGAGGAAGTGGTGAAGGCGCTCCCCCTCCCACTGTCTTGACAGGGTCACAGTGAGGATGAATGCTGGCAAAGCCACTCTCCCACTGTCTTGACAAGGTCACAGTGAGGATGAATGCTGGCAAACCGAAATCATGAGACCCTTTTTTATGTAATTGGGACTTTTCATTTTCATGCTCATGTTCCTGACAGGAGGCATGAGTATGTTAAATGCTAAACCAAATTAAATTTCAGATGGCTAGAACATAACAGGTAGTTCATGACTTGAAGGCTGTTCTACTACCCCTCAATATGACAAGGACAAAATAGAAGGCTGCTCCTCTATCTCAGTACACTGAGGACAAAACTGATAATGGACAACAATCATTCTCTGAAAGGTCACGAGAATTTTAAGCACCACATTGATTATATCAACTAAGAATCCAAGCCCATATTTCCGGCCTCTTAGAAAGCCTAATCATTAGGCTTATTGCACAAAACCCACCATATGTAGTTTTATTTTTGATTAAGGAAAAGTTATGTTATACACTTAGGAAAGTTAAGGCATATGAAGGTATATTCTCCTCTTTTCTATAAATCCTCTTTTACTTCACATAGGGACTTATGATGAGCATAGTTAATGTTGGCGGTAAATGGACTGATGTTTAGAACTTGCCTTTTACTGAGAGAGATTACAAAGATATAAGAACAAGTGCACCTTGGGGCTGGGATTGTGGCTCAGCGGTAGAGCGCTTGCCTAGCATGGGAGGGACCCAGGTTTGATCCTCAGCACCACATAAAAATAAAGGCATTATGTTGTGTCCATCTACACCTAAAAAATAAATATTTTAAAAAAAGAACTAGTGCACCTTGACTAAGAAACAAAAAAAACTCTTTGAGAAAGCAGTTCAACCAGTTTTATGAGAATAAATGTAGGAATTAATTAAAGCAACTTTGTAAGACATATTTTTAGAATAATGATAGAAATATTATTTTGTTTAGATTCTTGGGTTTAGAATTCTTAAGTTTTTAGCTGTATGGCTTTCTGATATGCTTTAAGAATGGTTTATAGAATTTAAGAATGGTTTGTAGACTTTAGGATATTTTAAGTATAAGATTTAAGGGGATTTCTTTAGATGGGAATTTTAGATTAAGAATAAGGTGCAAGTATACTTTAAACTTAAAGGTTAATGATAGGTGAGGAGACTTAGAGTCTGGTTATGTAGTTTGGCATTAGCTAATAAGAAAATAGCATATCTTGGGAAAAATAGTACATCTTCGGAAAAATCTGAAAATGTAAATTAGTGATGCATTTTATTAACGATTCTGTACACTTAATAAATGATAACTAAATGCCACATCCTGGAAAAATGTAAATTGATGTTACATTTTTCTATATCCCTAGTGATGGTTAAGAAAATGTCACATCTTGGCAAAGTTTTTGAAATTGTATAATCAATGATGTATTCTGAATCCATAATGATGAGAAAAATTGCAATAAAAGATGACCCAGAGAAAGCTGTATTAGATTTCTCTCTCTGGAGATTGCTCCAGTGGAACAACCCCTGTTTCCTCCTTTTCATTGATGCCACTCATCCTTCAGGACTCCCTGGACCCCACAAGGGTATAACCCTGGCAAGGAAGGACAATGGTAGCTATTATTTAGTTGGTATAGATTTCAGTTTTGCAAAATGAAAAAGAATTCTGGAAATGGATGCTAGTAATGGATGTAAAACAATATAAATATACTTAATACCACTGAACTGTACACTTAAAATGATTAAGGTGCCAAATTTTTTTGCTATGTACTTTAAAACTTCTAATAAATCAAAAAAAATTGTGGTGTACTCATCCAACAGTGCTCTGCTCAGCAGTAAAAGGAATGAACTAGACATAGCCACAACCCAGAGATTCTCAAAATAATTATGCTTTCACATACAGTCATTCTCTCCTGTTGAAATCTAAAACAACTTAGTCAACATAATTGTTAAAAAAAAAAAAAAAGATAACTGTGCTCAGTATAAAATAAATCAGACTAAAAAAGAGTATAATATTTTATGGTTTTAATTATATGCAATTCGAGAAAAGTTAACAAATCTATAGTGGAAAAAAAAAGGTAAATCAATAGCTTTCCTAGGACTGCAGGAAGGGATAATAAAGGGGTATGAGGTAGCTCTATGGGTGATGGATATGTATGGGAGGCCATCCTCACACGTGATTTGAGTTACCTCCCTGGCTGGTGTCCAGAGCTTTCCCCACCCTCCTCAGGTCCGAGGGCTTGTCCGTGTGGAGATGTGTCTGGCCACTACCCCGAAGACCCAATTGTCACCCCTGACCTTGGGACACTGCCCCCCTTAATCTTCATTGGATGGGATTTTCCCCAGAATTTTTTGTTCCCCAATAAAAGTCCACTCCCTGGCGTATTCTCTCTCTCTCCCTAGCCTCTTCAGTAAACCTCGCTACCAAATAGGTGGCTGGAGGCTGGAGCTAGGAGGAGCCGTCCTGGAGCTGGTTTAAAGGTAATTAGAGTCTTGTCTCTTTAATTCAAAACTCCTTAGAGATTTCTCACGTTTTGAACCTTCATTCATGAAGCTGGTGCTGGTCACGGGCTAAAGATATCTTTAATATCATAATTACGATAATGTATTTATCATAATTATGATATTAAATATCATAATATCATATGATACATATGAGTAATGTATTTCAAAATTTATCAAATGTGTGCAGGTATAGTCAATTATTGTGTGACAATTATATTTTAACAAGACATTAAAAGAATTTGTTGCACATAAAAATCTGACCACCCATTTTAGAAAACTAGTAGATTTAGTAACCTTTATATTAACTCTGCCATCTCTCTCCTCATGCCTTGGCAAGCAAAGAATGTGACATCCATGGAGAACAGGATCCTTTCTCTTAGTAGAAAGGCCAGCAATGGCCTTGAGATGCATTGTGCATACAGCCTACAGTATGTTTAGATTATTTGCTCTCGCAGCAAATTTATTTGTAGGACAGACATGGTAAGATTCTGAGAATTTCAGCAAATCCTGAATTCTGCACAGCCACATTCAAAGGAAGCTTGTGGATGCACTTTTAGTGTAGATCCATTCCTGCTGGTTTGTGATAATCTCACCTATGCCCTATAATCATGCTCTATGTTTCTGTACAAATTATGGGTCCACCTGGGCTTGGAACATCTTGGTAAAAAGAGACATCTGTTAGAAGATGCTGAACCTCAGGTACCAGTTAAATAGCAACTGCTTAATACTGCTAGGGGAAAAGGGATACATTAGCTCCTGAAAGCTTCCACCTTATCTAGCATCCATAGGAAATCTCCCCTGTGCAGATTTTTGGGTGAACAAGGTTCAACATCTGTCTGACACCTCCTCATATAGCCTACTCTCAGAGCTTCTCTCTGGTGTGTTGTTGTGTTGAACAAAAAGGGACACATCCTCTAAGTATGAACTGCTCCTAGATGTCTTATAGGTTGTCACAACTGCCCCCTCCTTAGGATAACATGGTCATATTATGAAAATTCATAGCATTCAGACTGCAAAAATGGGCTCACCAAGCCACATGATCTTTCCTTAAAACCCCTGGGGGGCAATGCACAAGGCCAGATCTGGGCTGAGTTGTTCTTTACCATCAAACTGTCCCTTCTGAGGCAGTAAATTTGGAGGCACACACAACACTTCTTTAATTTAGTAGACATTTGCTCTGTTCTCATTCCACTCCTAACAGTGATCAGAACACAGAGATTAAAGGTGGCTTTATCAATAAAGCCCTTGTTATCACACAAAACAGCAATGTGCAGTAGGTATTTGGGCCAGGTAACACAGAGGCTGAATAAGTCCATCACAAGAATCACATTAGACCAATGTCCCTGAAAGAGGGAAACCTTTTCTGCAAGCTGCCAGTAGAACCCCACTCAGGTCTTCATGGCTAAAAATGGATCATGTCCACGGATAAATCTGCCACAGGGGAAGGGAAGGACATCTTCCAATGGCCTCAGGCTACTGATCATTCTCTCCAGGGAGCAGAAAGAGATCTGCCTTCCCTGAGTGCTGTGGAGAGGCTGACATACACTCTGGAGGTCTGTCAGTGGGAGAGCTTCTGTTATAAATCCTCACAGTGACAGAACTCTGATAACATTCACCGTCGGAAAATGCAACTCAGCTCCTGGAAGCTTCCACCATATCGAGCCTCCATAGGAAATCTCCCCAGTGCAGACTATTGGTTGACCAAGGTTCAACATCTGTCTGAGAGCTCCTCATAAAGCCTACTCTCAGAGCTTCTCTCCGGTGTGTGGTGTTGTGTTGAACAAGGAGGGAGTACATTCTCTATATTCCTTTCTCTGGCGTGAATTTTCTGATGCTGAATGAGGGTGGGCCTTCGGCTGAAGGCTTTCCCACATTCATTACACTCATAAGGCCTGTCTGGTTTGTGAACTTCCTGGTGCTGACTCAGATTTGACCTTTGTCTGAAGGTTTTCCCACATTCACTGCACTCAAAAGGCCGTTCATCAGTGTGAAGCCTCTGGTGGTTATTGAGGCTGGAGCTTTTGTTAAAGAATTTCCCACATTCACTACACTGATATGGTCGTTCACCAGTGTGAAGTCTCCGATGGCTATTAAGACTGGAGTTTTGGCTAAACAATTTCCCACATTCGTTGCACTCATAAGGCCGTTCACCAGTGTGAACTCTCTGATGTTTCATGAGGTCAGAGCTTCGGCTGAAGGCTTTCCCACATTCATTACACTCAAAAGGCCTGTCTGGTTTGTGAACTTCCTGGTGCTGACTCAGATTTGACCTTTGTCTGAAAGTTTTCCCACATTTACTGCACTCAAAAGGCCGTTCACCAGTGTGAAGCCTCCGGTGGTTATTGAGGCTGAAGCTTTTGTTAAAGAATTTCCCACATTCACTACACTGATATGGTCGTTCACCAGTGTGAAGTCTTCGATGGCTATTAAGACTGGAGCTTTGGCTAAACAATTTCCCACATTCGTTGCACTCATAAGGCCGTTCACCAGTGTGAACTCTCTGATGTTTCATGAGGTAAGAGCTTCGGCTGAAGGCTTTCCCACATTCACTGCACCTAAAAGGTCGTTCACCAGTGTGAATGGTCTGGTGTTGAATGAGACTAGCAATGTGGCTAAAGAATTTTCCACATTCATTGCACTTATAAGATCTTTCTCCAGTGTGAACTCTCCAATGTTTAATTAGGCTGGAGTTGCAATTGAAGGATTTCCCACATTCCCTGCATTCATGAGCACTTCTACCAGTGTGAATCCTCTTATGATGAATGAGGTTGGAGCGATGGCTAAAGAATTTCCCACATTCACTGCATTCATATGGCTTTTCTCCAGTGTGAACCCTCTTATGTTGAATAAAGTTGGATCTTCGGCTAAAAAATTTCCCACAGTCGCTGCACACATGAGGGCTTTCACCAGTGTGAACTCTCTGATGCTTTATGAGACTGGAGTTTTGGCTAAAGAATTTGCCACATTCGCAGCACTCATAAGGTTTTCCTCTGCTGTGAACCCTCTGGTGTTGAATGAGACTGGTAACATGGCTAAAGAATATTCCACACTTGCTGCATTCATAAGGCCTTTCTCCAGCATAGATTCTCTGGTGCTGAACAAGTGAGGATTTGTCGCTCAAAAATTCACCGTCCCTGAATTCACAGCTCTTGTTATGTCTTCGCATAGTTTGAGAATCCACTGCACCTTCACTGCTCCTGTGTGACTCCTCCACACTTGGAGTGACGTGATGCTGCAGAGAGCCTGATGTGGTCGCAAAGTCCTTCCTGCTGTCCCTGCACATGAAAGTCTTCTCTGATGTGTGGTCTCTGAAGGTCTTCATAGGACAGGCTCTGCCTTCCTCCCTTCTGACAGACCTGTCTGCATTCTGCTGTGCCTGTTGCTGGAGAGGACTTGCATTGACCTTGAACCCTCTCCCATTCACCTCACACATGGACGGCTTCTGCATGGGATATGTTGCCTGGTAGTCTTTCAACTGTAGGCTATACGTGTCATAAGGGTAGGTCTTCTGGGTAGATAGAGCTGCCTTGGAATTCCTGTCCTGTGAAACTCCTTCTACAGAGACACTTTGTTCAGAAGGTAGCTTCTCACCCTCTCTTCCTTGGCAAAAATCTGCAAACAGAGCAATGCTAGTGAAGTTCATATAAACTTTGATGAAAACACCCCAGTACATATCCTTGTCCAACCCTGGAATGAGTCCATAGAATTGTTGGTAAAGTGAGAGGCCTCAGGACAAAGTAAAAAATGCTATGCTCTGCAGTCTTATGCTTGACCAAGTCACAAGACAAGAGAGGCCTTATTAGAACCAAGAACAAAAGAATGGGGTACAGTACAGGGTGGAGAGGCCGTATCTCTAACTCACTTCTCTCCAAAGCCTTTCAGATGGGTCTTCACTGCTGTAAACCTTTGAGGGCTATGCATCAGGTCAGGCCTGGGAAAATCTGATTCCAACTGAGTTTTCAAGCACTTAAAGGAAATATGCATATCTCAGGATTTACAAAATGGAATCCAACACTGGAGAGTGCTACTGAGGAAGCTGTAGCAAGGAGGAGACGTGAGGCCAGAAAGGTGGGGCCCAACCAGGGACCCAAAGTCAGAGCAGAGATGCCAAGTGGGCAATAGGGAAGGAAAGGTAGAGATGAGTGTGGCCACTGGCTTTGGCACTAATGATGAATATAAGAAAAATGGTGGAATATTTTGAACACACTATTGACACCCCATCCTCCCCAGCTCCCACTTACCAGAACCAGGCCTGCCATAAGCCCCTCTTGCCATGGCAGTTGTCATATCCACTCTGTCAGGCACCCAGGGCTCTTTCCCCATATTCAGCTGGGCAACTATGTGGGACCTGAAAGATGTAAGTCCTGAGGGAAAGACAAGGAAGGTCAGTGGCCAGCACCTACCTGGGGGAACTAACCCACATCAGATCACAGAAAACTCAATATTACAAAAAGAACACACAGAGGAAGTCTGGCAGGAATATCCAGTGAGCAAGTAGCCACCACACGAGCACTTGGAATTTCTGGCACTCAAGCACAGGAAATGTGGGCAAAGGACAGCAGAACCCAAACCACTGTCAGGGATCTAGACGACCATCCAGGTGAGGAGTGGCCAAATCAGATGGGCTCTACCAGGCTGACTGCTAGGCTCCTTCTGCCTGAACACTTCTCTGCAAGGCTCAGGCAGCAGGTGTGGGGCTGATGGGGGACACGAGGATACTGCACACAGCTCCGCCCTGGAACCCACAACACATGGACTGGAAAGTGGAAGCAGTTCCCATGGTCTGGCTGTGAGAAGGAAAGAGCTGTCCCTTGAGCAAAGGGGACAGGCAGAGACAAGCTCAGGACACCTAGGAGGACATGACGGCCTTACCCAGTGAGGCTGTGAGTGCAAAGTTCTCCAGCATCACATCACAGTAGAGGAGCCTCTGAGCCTCGTCCAGCAGTCCCCACTCCTCCTGAGAGAAGTAAATGGTCACGTCCTCAAAGGTCACACAGCCCTGCTATGATGAGGACATTTCATTCTGTGATCAGTCTCTCTCCTCAGCATGCCCTACCTGTCCCCTGCTCACCCTCCTCCCTCACCCTGCTCCCCAGCTCCAGGAAGACACCAGGCCCAGTTCCTGCTTGCTCTTTTCTCCTGCTCCACATGACCACTCTGTCAGCCCACAGATGGCCACGGAGCAGTGGGTACAGGGACACCATCTAAGCTCTGGCCCTGTCCTGGAGGGGCTAAACCCCTCTTCAACCCCCTTCCCTAGTGCCATCCACGTCATGCTTCTCAGGCTCAAACAAAAGGGGGCTCCGTCTTTTCCCCTAATCCCCAGTGTGGATCCCCTCGGCCAAGAGCTCACTCCTGGATGCGCTTCACTCCTTGAACAACTCTGGACCTCACCACTCCATGCTCGCTGTCACAGCTACCCTCTCCCCTGTCCACAGCACAGCCATCTCCATGGACTCCCACATGTCACTCTGCACATGGCACCCAGAGAGTGCTTGACAAATACAGCCATGATCCCATTCTGCCCTGGGCCTTTGGTGTCACCCACTGCCAAAGGTAACCTCACCTCTGCTTCTGAGACCTGACCTGCTCCTGGCTTCAACATGAACCACCCGGAGCACACACAGATGAGGTGTCAGGTGCACTTGGCCCCTCTGTGTTGTAAATGCCATCCCTTCATCACCCACACTCAAAGCCAATCCCTCTGCTCTTCCTACTCCCATTCACAGTCTAGATCTTGAATGTCCCCCAAAGTCCCATATGTTGAAGACTTGGTCCCCAGCCTGTGATGCTATTGGGAGGGGGTGGAACCTTTAGGAGGTGTGGCCTACTGGAAGGAAATTAGGTCCTTGAAGGGCACATTGGGATCCCAGCCCCTCCTCTCGCTTTGCTTCCTAGCCATCATGAGCTGAACACTCTTTCTCTTCCACAAGTACCACCATGATGGACTATGCATGCACACTCAAAGCAACAGGGCTAAGCCATGATGGACTGAAACCTCTAAAACCATGAGATACAACAAACCTTTGTTCCTTTTAAGCTGATTACCCCAGGATTTTGTCACAGCAATGTAAAGCTAACTAATACATCCCACCATCCCACAGCAACAATTGTTGCTGGCAACAATTCCAACTAATTACCTACCCCTGAGCCCATTCCTCAGCCTGACTGAAAATCCCCAGGTTCCATTAAGGGTCACTACAAAATTCTGGAAAGAACAGGGGGGTGGATAAGGACAGCCCAAACCTCACTGGAGCATTACTTCTCTGATTACCAAACCTCAATATCCATCTCCTACCTATGCCCCGAGGAAGATCTGGCCACTTGCCAGATGCTTTTATCCCACACAGCATCCCTCGCCATGACCACCACTCTTCCTCATCCATTTTTGTGATGCCAAACAAGCCAACCCTGATGCCCAAGCAAGATGTCCTACTCTCAGTTCTCCAGCCACACCTTCCTCTTACCAGGATTGTCACCAGGACCTGAAGATTCCATCCTCTTAAATCTGCCACCTATCTTCACTCTTGTCAACACACGATGCCACAATTTGGATGTTTTGCAGAGAGAGAGAGAGAGAGAGAGAGAGAGAGAGAGAGAGAGAGAGAGACCCCCCAAACGAGAAAAGCAAGGGCTATTTCTTCAGAGCTGGCTAAACCAAGGGAGTCAGCCTCCATTGCTGAGGGTTTGGCAGAGGCTCAATGGGAGGCAGAACTGGGGGAAAGCATTATAATGGAGAACAGGGAGAGCTGCAGGTATGCCCTAACTGGAGGCAAAGGGCGAGGCTGGCGGATGTTGTTTGTAAGTGGACTCACAGAAGCAGAGCAGTCTGTATGATGGGTCGGGGAACACATTTGGCTTTTTGTGTTTGGTCCTAAGTTGGACACAGGAAAAACAATCACAGTTGTCAGTTATTAATCAAGCCTGGACCACACAGGTGATCAATTGTCACTGAAGTTGTTATTTAATTAGCTGGACTGTCACTAGAGATGGCAATCTGGCTTCCTGCAAGTCTGACTTGCAGCAGGCTGGCCTCCTGGGGTGTGTATGAACTTGAGGGGGTGGTTTCCTGGGCAGGTTTCGGGTCAGAGTGCCACTTTTACATATGGTCTGGCCATGGTTCAGTTTGCATATTGTTCTCATGCCCTTAATTAACACCTCCCCCCGCCAGAACATATATTATCAATCCACTCTTCAAATCCACTCAGAATCTTGAAAACATCAGAGATTCAACATGGCTAAAACCTAACCTATTTCCACCAAAAATTCCCACTAGAACCAACCTCCTCTCTCAGTTAACAGATCATCCATCCTTCCTGCAGCTAAAACCCAGAACCATGGTGTCATTTGTCCTCCTTCTCACCTGCCCATCAGAAAGTCTGCTCAGCAGATCCAGAATCCACCTGCAGTTCTTCTACTGACCTGGACTACTGCAGTGAGCTACTCCTTGGCCTGCCTGATGTCCATCCTCACCACACATTCAAGTTTCCACTCTGCATCCACAGGGAGTCTGGTTAAGATCCAAGTCCTACCACCTTCATCTGCCGCAGTCCGGCTGGGCAAAATAACCGAGAGGTGACAAGCAACTTGAAGGTTGAATCAAGAACGACTTTATTGCGAGTGAACTCAGCAGGAACTGAGCGAGAACTCAAAGTAGCGGGCACCCAAGGTAGCAGGAGCCACTTCTCTGCGGGACAGCAGAGGTACATATACCCAACTAATTACACACAGCTTAACTCAATTAACATCACCTAGATACAGCAGTCAGCCAATAAGGAATCCTCATCATCTTAATGGCTTGCTGGCGTTGCTTCACAAACTTCTCCTCCTGGCAAACTGCCAGGCGCCATCTTGACTTGATTTGCATCCCCAACGTTCATCCTCTGCTCTAAATCCTCCACGGCTCCCAGCATCTTCTGGGTGGGCTGCCTGGTTCCAGCAGACACAGAAACAGTAACCTCACATTTCCTGGCTCCCAACTCACTGCACACAAATACACACACACCGACCCTCACAAACACTTGTACATGCAGGTTCCTGTGGGCAGAAAACCCTTTCTCCCTCACCCTTCAGAGTGCAGAAATGGAAACGGCTCTATGTAAGTCCTGGCCTGCATTCCAGGACCCTAAGCCTGGAATGACGTTCCCTGCCCCCCAGGGTTCTCTGACTCAAGCAGGGAGAGGAGCGCCAGGACCAAGAGGGTGGGGATCCCACCACAGACGGTCTGAAGACCACCTACTCACCTGCCTGGGGCCCATCAACGCCGCCACAGCCATTGAGGCCTGGGAAAGGTCAGAGGCAGGTGACAGAGGTGGCTCTCAGGGACTCAGCCCCACCACCACCTATCCTGCCAGGCCCGGGTGAGACAGGACCCCGGGCTGAGGGTGGTGCTGCCGCCCTCAGTGCCCCCTCCCTAAGCCGTGTAAAAGGCGCACAGGGCCCAGGCCGCCTCTGTGGGTGCGGAGAGCGGGCGGACCTCCAGACCCCGGCGGACACCCCAGTTCCAGGGGGTCCCGGCTGGTGCAAAGGCGGGACGGAGGGTCCGAGCTTCCCCGTCCTTCCTGCACGATCCGGAAAAGCCCCCCGGGCAGGGTCAGCGGCTAGGCCCCACGTTCCCACCCGATCCAGGGTCTCCGGCTGCAGGGACTCAGAGCCGCCACCGGGAAATGACTCGCCGGACTGTCGCGCAGGAAGTTCCAGTCTCCGCCTCCGCGGCCAGAAGTAAAGCCGCTCTCCTGCAGCCGGTGGCCGGGCGCCAGCCGCCGATGCACCAGCTGAGCCCCAGGACCCGGTCTCCTTTCCGCCCGCGGCCCGGCAGCGGGGGCGGGGCCTGGGCGGGGCCCGGGGCGGCTCCGCCCCCTCCGCCGGGCCGTCCCTGAGTTTTCCTCTTAAAGGGACCTTTCCCAGCGCTAGGTCACGCCCGGGACGGATCCCGCACCCGTCCTGCCGGTGTGGGTATTGGTGAGCCCTTCACCCCTCACTCAGGGATCTAGATTCACGTTGAAAACTGAAGTTAATACCTGATTGGCGGATCTTTGTGTACGAATATTAAGTGTTCTAATTCAGTCCTTCTCAAACCAGGACGTTGGCATCGCCTGGGAATTTGTTGAAATGCAAGTTGGAGACAACAACCCAAACTTAAGGACTCCGAAATTCTAGGAATGGGGTTCAACTTTCAATGCCTTAACAAGCCATTTGGGGCGATCAAGCAATCTTTGATTGCTCCAATTTGAGAACAGGGACTCTCTAAAATCCAGTATATAAAATGGGGAAAATAACACTACTCACATCTAATGGGTAACAGGATACATGGAAGGTACATGGTTTCTGCTTTATATAAAAGTTACTGCTATCATTATCATCATCATCATCATCATCCCAAGACTCACAAACAGGGCTGTGAAAGGGCAGTAAGAGACCCTTCTCAACAAGGTCATTTAGGGTATTTGTCAAAATATAAAATACAATGCTCTCTAACTCAATAAATACGTGAAGGCATAAGGTTGTATCCCTTGGGTCCTTTCATATTATTTTCTCATTCTTCTTTTATGAGATGCATTTATTTTTTAATTTTTAAATTGATTTTAAAATGACCTGTGTTTATTATGTACAGGATGATATTTTGGAAATAAGCATTGCAGAATGGCTGAATAGAGCTAACTGGCATATGCATTACCTCTAAGAAACAGGAGCTTTTGGCTTCATACAGTCACTCTAAATGGGTGCTGAAAAGGGGCCACCCTGCCATGTTGTTGGTACAAAGGACTATCTTATGGAGGTTCAGGAGAGGAGCTTACATTGCCTGGGCCTTATCTAGCACCCTAACCATCCTGGTGTCCCATTAGCTTCACCTCCTAATACGTGCCAGATTGTCCCCTCCAACACTACCACCCTGGGCCAGTTCACTGTTAATGTACTCCTGAACAGGGGAGTGGACACCTCCCTGGGACCCCACATCAATTCTTGTGTTCTTCATACAGCATCCCCAGTCAGATTTAATCAGATTATGTCACTGGTTAAAACCCTTTCTTGGCCTCCAAACAGAGGTAGAATAAATCCAGATTTCTCATTGTGATCCACAAAGCCCTGTAATCTGGCCCTGCCCTTTCCTCTCTCCCTTCTGGACACACTGTTGTTCACCTGGACTCTGCATCTTGGCATGTCCCGTCCTTTGCCGGGGATGTTTTCTCTTTGAAACCATCTGTTCAGGCATCAAATCACCTCATTTCCTGTCTACTTACCTCATTACTGCTCTATATCCCCTATGGTACAATTTAATTTTTTTAATCTTTGTTCTTATCTTATTTTGTGTTGCTATAACAAAATACACTAGGCTAGGTACTTTACAAAGAAAACTGATTTATTTGGCTCATAAATCAGGTGCTGGAAAATCCAAATAGCATGATATTAGCATCTGGCAAGGGCCTACCTGATAGTGTCACAAAGGGGCCAACCACATGGTGTGGCCTTGCTTTATAACAACCTGTCTCGAGAACTAATTCACACTTGTGAGACCAACCTACTCAAGAAGATCAACACTAGTCCTTCCTAAGGTTCTTCCTACTCAAGAAGATCAACACTAGTCCTTCCACATGGGGTGGCCTTGCTTTATAACAACCTCTCTGTCTCGAGAACTAATTCACACTTGTGAGACCCAACCTACTCAAGAAGATCAACACTAGTCCTTCCTAAGGTTGGTACCTACATGACTAGTCATCTTCTACTGGGCTCCACCTCTTTAAGATCTACCACCTCTCTTTACCATTACAATGAGGACCAAGCTTCCAACACCTGAACCTTTGGGGAACCAATCATGTGCAAACTGTAGCACCACATGAGGACACTGAGGCCCAGGGAGAAGTGGCATGCATGAGGCCATTCAGCTGGTAACCATCATAATTCACTCAGCTGGAATCATAGTTTATCCCCAGAGTATAAATTCTTTCCCATTAGACCATTCTTTGCCCTCTGCACCTGCCCTTCCTTACCCAAGTTCCGATTCTCCTGTCCTTTGTGTTTCTGAAGGCCACAGGATTCAGTCCTAGTGGAAGTGCTGATTCTCTGAGCCTTTATGAGTGTTGCCCACACTACACAGTGAGTTCCTGCCCTGCTCAAGGCCAGGCCCCATGTCTCTGCCCCCATGTGTTCCAGCTCCCTTCAGTGTGCCCAGGACACAGTGTATGCCCATATGTGTGAACAGAGGGTCTCCCGTGATTATTGTCCATTGTACCAGCAAGTGCACAGCAGATCCCTTCAACCAAAGACAGGACAATAGATGGGGAGAACCAGGTGATAAGGGAACAAATGACAGAGTCTTTTGTCCTCTGGGCATCTCACTTCTGCTTCAGGACAAGTGTGAGCCCAGTTCTCTACATGAGAAGATTTATTTCCAGATCTGGAAGTTCCTGTTGTAAAAGGAGCTTCCAGATCTTGAAATAAAGACCCTGGACTAGGAACCATGGTACTTCAAGAGAGGGCTTTCTTGGACTCTCTCAAACCCAGGTGTCAACTGGCACAGTAGTAGGTACTGTGTTGACAGTGAATGAGGACAGTGCAGGCCACAGTTCCCAAAAGATAATTCCTTTCTCAAAAAAAGAAAAAAGAAAAGAAAACTATACACACTGTCATTTAATATGATAACTCTATTAACTCGTTGAAAGGAGAAAACTCATACAGTAACAATAGGTAATATAAAGTTCCTGCCCACAACGACGAGGCCAAACTAGAAATGTTTTCACTAAAAACTTCTGAGGAGGGTTTACAGTAAAGAAATTATTATTTTTATATATTTCTTTGTAATATGTTTCTACCTTGAGATAACACTGATCATTTCATGTATCTTGGCGAATACTTTCAAATAAAATCCCAAGGAAAGAACCCCTAAAATATTCCATAGAAACCTATATGCACCTACATATTTTTGTCTGGCCAAGCTGTTAAAATTCCATTCACTTTATTTTACAGCAACATGTCACATAATCTTCTATAAGATTAAACCATGACAGTCTGGCCCCAGATAGCTGTAGTTTAACCCATAGAAAAGGAACAAAGTGAATTTGGAAAGAAGAGGTGAAGTACAGGGGGGTTTTAAGACAGTGACACGATTCTGTAGGATTCTGGGATGGTGGATACATGACATTATGCACTTGTCAAATTAAAAAAATGCATGGAACTTTATAGTATAGAGAGTGAATTTTTTTTCTAGTGCTAGATATTGAACCAAGGAGCCCTCTACCACTGAGCCACATCTTCAGCCCTTTGTTTTTATTATTTTATTTTGAGATAGGGTCTTGTAAAATTACTGTGGTTGGCCTCCAACTTGTAATCCTCCTGCCTCAATTCCCCAGTTGCTAGGATTACAGATGGCACCACTGTGCCCAGCTAGAGAGTGAATCTTTTTTTATACCTTTATTTTATTTATTTATTTTTATGTGGTGCTGAGGATCGAACCCAGAGCCTCGCATGTGCTAAGCGAGCGCTCTACTGCTGAGCCATAACCCCAGCCAGAGAGTGAATCTTAATGTATGCAAATTTTAAAAATCACTTAGGTGGTCATGAGATCCCAGGAAAGAATTCAGACTGTGATAGGAGAATAACTGCATTGCACATGTATGAAACAAGTTCATTGATGAGGGTGAGGGAATAAGTGCTGACCTAAGTCACTTTCAAAATCAAAGAAGTCTGTAAGACTGAACACTAAAAGAACTGCATATCCGCTATACTCTAGTTGATAAAGTTAGTTCCCACAGAGGTACAGGTTGACAATCCTAATACCCTAGGTTTCCAATACATCAGTCAGGTACTCCTCCAAAGCTGTCTCCCACTGGTCTAGATGTTAATGCTCTTCTTCTTACCCTTGTGAGAGTGATTGAGTTCCACTATCTGACCTGAGTTGCTTTCAACAGAGACTCACTCCATGAAGAGTCTCTTTAGAAGTCCGTGCTGGCATATCTGCCTGCATTGTTCTTTCTGAAGTACAGAGGTTGAGGTCTGGGTCTGTAAGGGGAATCTCTAAAAGGTCCAGATGAGGAGTTGTTAAAGTGTTGATGCCTGCAATGCAGCCATGTGATTGCTCTTCTGTTAAGAAAGAAAAGCAACAGGGTTAGGATTCTGAACATCGGTGGAAAGTAATGTGAGAGGGAGAAAGCGAAAGAATCTCAAGAGAGGTAAAGTGAGGGCTGGGGTTGTGGCTCAGGGGTAGAGTGCTTGCCTAGCATGTGTGAGGCACTGGGTTCGATTCTCAGCATCACATGTAAATACATAAATAAAATAAAGGTCTATCAATAACTAATAATTTTTTTTTAAAAAAAGAGAGAGGTAAAGTGAGAGGTCAAAAAATCTTGGGTGGGCTGGGCACAGTGGTGCACGCCTCTAATTCCCAGCTACTCAGGAGGCTGAGGCAGGAGAATTGCAAGTTCAAGGACAGCCTCAGCAACTCAGCAAGACCCTGCCTCAAAATAAAAAATAAAAAGAACTTGGGATGTAGCTCAGTGGTAGAATGCTCCTGGGTTCAATCTCCAGTAACACACACACACACACACACACACGCCTTGGGTGTTTCAGTTAGGAGAAGGATGAATGATTGAGACAGCTCAGGGTACATGAATTTCAGGCTAAGACAAGATTGGTTTGAACCAACTTTGCTGTTGCTTCTGCTACTCACACACATGCTTCAGCTCTAGGGCCTGGAGGTTAAAACAAGGGTTGTCTGCTTTCCATTAGGCCTCTGAGATAGGATGTTGTTTTCTC